CTCATTTTTGTTTTCCGTCCTTATTGTCAACCTTCCAGTTGTTTTCCTGCCCCAGATTTTAACTGTGTAGATGATGTCATTTTGTGTCAGTTGATCTGGAACAGAGTTACATTGATTAGAATCGAGTATCGATCATAGTGTACTGTTCCAATCAGCTTTGATTTTCATCAACTCCTTTCCAATTGCATTTTTCTCCTTAGGGGGCACCAATTTCTGAGGGAACAATAAAATCCTTTAGAAAAGCTTTCTCTTAAGCGTTAACTCACTTATGATTTTATTGTTATTGTCATCATTGTTGTGGCGTTTGCACCATACCGCTGTTAAATATATATATAAATACATATATGTATGATGTTCAGTTGTTCGCCGAGCTTGGCAATTGTATTGCAAAGGTGACATTCTCAATGCAGTAACCGAACATCATATTATACCACCCGAGCTACAAAAACAACAATCAACATCGTTGTTTACCAAACTGTCACATATATGTATATCGATACCAGCATGAATCATCGATGAATGTTACACACTTCAGTCGGCAACCTGCGAAGATTGTCAGTTGTTATTCATGAATTCAAGCATTCGAAACCGCCCGGTTGTGATCTCATAAATATCCTTATTTTTTCTTTATTCTCTGGACCTGTTAAGCAATCGATGGACTGAATTTTCACGCCAATTTTGTTCGTAAAATAAACGAGGAATGTCTCCAGCCGTTTTGCTCCGAACCCGCTGTTTTGCGTTCATTTTCACGCAGGTATACGTTCCAGTTTTTTGCGTGTTATCTTTCGCATTTACCATCGGATGAACTCCACTGTTCCGCAGTCACTAATCACGAAGGAGAAAGTGGTGGTTGAACTGCACAATTTGGTACCCGAAAACAGTCCTGCTTCGAAGTTTATACTAGAATGGGCTCACTCAAATTTTGCCGGGCACCGGGTAGTGGGTATGGTCCTTAGCAATGGGGTTACATTCCGCCGGACACGCCCCGGGGTTTGGTACCTACACAGATGTTGTGAGGTGCTACTCACATTTGTTAGTAGTATGCAAAATAGTGCGGTTGGTGGTTGCCTTCAACGACGGAGAATTAACAAAACTACTGAAGCCTAATTGCTGTGTCTCAAATAATAACTACCGATCTCTCCGTTCATTACCCGGTGTACTGCCGGGAATTGCGATGATATGTTTCAGATGAGATTTCTGTGTCATGTATGCCAAATTAGTGAAATTTAGGACAAGTCAAGCTTGACGCATCCTGACGTGTGTTTGGAGAATATTATTTCGTATGAGCGATAAAAAGATACGCTAGTGGAATCATACAAAAAACAATGCTAAATACAACATTTAATGAGTGGGTTGAAGCGGTGACCTTCATGAATGTACACTGAACAATACTACGGGGTCGAGATGGATCGATGGTCGGTGAATCGAAGAGCGGCGAAAACTGGGAGAATTTTATGATGCAAACACTGATTGGAAAACAAACTTTTGGTCATGTGGTCATCAACTTCTAAATGCTTGTAACCACGGTATCTGAATGTGATCATTTGTGCAGTGTTTTGACCTTGTCAAATGAGTGTGTGTGCGGTTCGAAAGTGAAAGTTTTGTTTCCGAACCAACAATTCCATACAGGTCTATAAATCGTATACTATGCTCATTGGCTCTGTGTCAAACACCATAGAAAAAAACTACGTCTTGAGAGATTGTTAACTATTTTTAACTGCTGTACTATTCGCATAAATACGATTGGGTTGTTTTGGTCAACTGTTGGTTTCTTGCTGAATTATACGATGGGGTTGGGAGTCCGAGCAAAAGGTTTTTCAGGATACACACGTACAACCACAACCACAACAGCAGCAACAACAACGATAACAACAACAACAGCAGCAGCAGCAACAATAACAACAACAACAATAGCCCTGTCCTGTCATATCTGGAACAAAAAGGAACTAATAGTCTGGAACGTGCTATCCTGTACAAAAAATGCGTTGGCGACACACTGGTTCTAACAGAAAGCTTTGAACAAACTACGAGAATTATGGTTGAACTCAACAGATTAGATCTAAATATATGCAGTTAATAATCCATAGGTGTTCCGGATCACTTCGAAAAATTTGGGCGTTGTGCTCATGGTAACAATAGAATCAGGTTTGTTTTAGCCACAACGTGAATACCAAAACACAAGATTTCGGTGACAACGTTTCGGCCCTCTTGGAAGGTCTTTGTCAAGTCAGTTTAATCGGTTTTTCGAAAACACAAGCTTTAAGGTGAAAATCGCGGCGTTCAAGGTTGACCTAAAAACGGGGTCAAGTGCGTAAGTTTCCGTGTATGTGTGTGTGTGTGTATGTTGGATTCGGATTATCATCAGGGCTCTGTGGTATCTGCACCTATTACGTGATCTGTGTTGGTGTGTGAATCTGTGTGAAAATAATACACGAGAGGTCAAGTGGTTTGTTGGGACAATGGAGAAAGCGTCACACCAGGCCACTGACAAATCAGTCCCCTCCGTGCGGTTGACACATTCAACTTCAGTGTTAATCCACAAAGTTTCGGAGATCATCCTTTCTTTGTGGCTACGAAAACCTTGTCTCAAAA